TTTGACTAAGGTCGAGCTGTGTTCACTTTCAGTCACCATTGAGAAAGAGTTTTCGATAGGATAATCTAAGAATTTAGGTCAAAGAAAGAGTTTAGAAGAAACCGAAGATCCGAAACAGAGTATGTCGGATTTTGAGGTTTGTATGAAACAGAAGTAGAAATCAAGAGGTGAGATCGATAACCAAGAAATCTAGATTTAGGTTTAATGCTCTGATACGATGTCAAGAAACCTTAAGAGGTTGTAAAAAAATTTCTTATTGACAAAGTTATCGGTGAAAGACCTTTTATACTTATTACATCTTGATCTAGAATACAAACTCTATGTCGATATTTATAATGGGCCATTATAAGGCCCCTAATAGAGATATATCTATAGATGAGAGATATATATGGTTCTAACATGAGAAACGTATTTCTATTTTCCTATTTTATTACAACTTTGTCAAATATTGTAAGATTTCATGCTGTTTATTTTAGATATACACTCAAATAGCATTTCCAATTTTATTTCGGATGACTAAAAACTTAAAAGGACAGCTAAATATTCTATGAAATTTGCATATATTCAATTTCTTAAATGCAAAATGTAAATTTCCAAATTATGTAGATTGATATTGACCAGGTTCTTTAGTTTTATTTTTATTTTATCTTTTTATGTACTACTACTAAAAGAAAACGCATGAAAGAGATACAGTAAAATACTAACCAATATATATATATATAATAGCACATTTTTCCCTTATTTTAAAGTGTCACCTAAGCCAAACATAATTTCACAATTAATGTTATTTTAAATTTCATTTAATTCATGTATATTTATATATATTGTTATTTATAAAAATTGAAAATTTCAATTAAATAAACAACAAAAATTAACCTATATGATCTAATTATATCTATTAGATTTAGTTTAAATGGTTAGATTTTTTATAATAGATTTTTTTGGGTTATTCAACCCAACTTCCCTACAAAGATCACATCTAAAATACTCTTAATTTCGAGTATCCTCTCTCTCTTGCAAAGTACTATGATTCGATTCACCATAAAAGCATAAACTCTATAAGCAAAACTCATGTAAGAGAAACACAATTACCTCTTACATACATACCTCACGATATATTTTGAACTCTACTAGAATTTTAGATTATTGTATTCAAAATTGTTACGAAAATTACTAAGAAAAAGAAAAATGCAACAAGCCATATATGCCTGACAATATTCTAAAGAAGAGGATATATATCGGTTTTTCGTTTATAATTATTTATATATAAAAAATTTCGTTCATCTATGACTAATCTTCTATATATTAAAGGAGAAGCATTTTTGGATTAATTTGCTTAGGTGTCAAATTCTCAAATTTTGAAGTTTTTAATTAAAAATTAAATCCTATTATTAATTCTCTACTATACTATTACCCAAACACTCTTCAATCCTATAAATTCTCTACTATCCTATTATCCAAACACTACACAATCACACAATCTTTGCAACCAAACATTACTAGTAAAATTTAGTCAGCTACTTTAGTTTAAAGTTTTAATTAATTTTTTTTTGGTCAAAAGTTTTTATTAATACAATAGGTAACTAAAATATACTTATTCCGTTCACTGGATTGTTATAGGGGACAATTGCAAAAATGCCAACATGGATTTGTCCATTTGCAAAAATGACACAAATTATAGATTTTTATAGCCTAAATCTTAAAATTCTAAACCCTAAAAAATGTTTTGATCCC